TAAATGGAACAAAATGAATGGACTATCTTACAATGTTACATGATTCGAACTCTTGTTCATTGCATATCGCATCACAATAAACCAAGAGGGAAAAAAAGATAATTTGCATTAACAAACAAATTAAACCCATTAAAGGAAAAGATATGGGGACAAAAATATAAATTACAAAGAAAAATAAAGGGTTTAATACAGTATATACAGTACAAACGTATCCTAATATTTAAGTGTGTCCCAAATAGTCGTCGCATTAATAACATTATAACCAAGATGAATCATAATCTTCTTTCTGAACAGCAGTTAACTCCGGTTGTGTAGGTGAGACGGAATTATCAGGTGGCATTTCAACAGTTGATAAAGCTCTCGGTAAATTAGACTCGTTAGCTAAAAGTAATGTTTTTCTTTGAATATTAACTTGGAAATCCAGTTCTGTATCGTTAAGTTGAGAGTTTTGTACGACTTCAATAGGTTCATCTTCATCAAAATCATTCCTTTCAAAAACTTGATCATCCATACTTTTTGGAGGTTCAGAGGCTTGATGATAACCTAGTTCATCGTTATAATAATCATCATCATCATCATTTGCCTCTTCACTCTGTAAATTTTCCATAATGGGAGGTAAAACTTCAGTTAAAGGAGTATTGGAATCGGCAAGAGGGTCAGAAGGCGGACTATTAACTTCTAGAGATTCATCCAAAGCCAAAGAAGAAATAGGACTATAAACAATATCCGACCGATCATTATCTTCAACAGAACTTGCATTACTACTGGATCTCACTCTAATTTTGGGAGAAACATCACGATAACTCAATTTTCTTGAATAGATCCTGACATCACCGCCACCAGGAGTATGATGAATGTTATCCAAAGAACCAACTCTAGATTTCACAGCCGACATTGGTATCTTTGTAGGTATTTTAAGTGGAACATATTTATCACCACCACCAGGAACGTGGTCAATATTATCGAGGGAACCAACACGTGGTTGCACGTGATCAAAACTTTGTTTTCTAGAAAATATTCTAACGTTACCACCTAATAAAATAAATATTAATTATTTAATTAGCAAAAGTATGGCAAGTATTAGCAAATATTAACAAGTAGAAATTATAGACGAAAAAAAATAGATAATGCATAATAAACAAATAGACAAGAAAATCAAGACATTACCTTTTGGAGTATGATAAATATTATCTAAAGAACCCACACGTGAATGAACTTTAGAAAAATCAACTTTAACAGATGGAATTTTTTTATCACCACCTTTTGGGACATGATCAATGTTATCCAATGAACCAATACGAGGAGCGACATTAGAAAAGTCGACTTTAATTGATTCAATTTTTTTATCACCACCTTTTGGAATATGATTAATGTTATCCAATGAACCAACACGAGAACTGACATTAGAAAAACTAGGTTTAACAGAGAAGATTTTCTTATCACCACCTTTTGGAGTATGATTAATATTTTCCAGTGAGCCAACTCGAGAACCTACATTAGTAAAATCAGTTTTAATTGATAGGATTTTTTTCTCTCCACCTTTTGGAACATGGTCAATATTATCTAATGAGCCTATTCGTGACCCGACATTAGAAAAATCCGGCTTATCAGAAAAGATTTTTATCTCACCGCCTTTTGGTATGTGACTTAGGTTATCCAAAGACCCTACACGTGATCTAACATGAGAAAAATCTTGTTTTTGAGTAGGAATTATGTGAGGAGAAACTCTTGATTTTTTTCCACGACTGCTATTACTACTAGTTTGAGATAAAGTATCACTACTTTGTGAACGAGTTAATTGAGGTCTTGGATCTTTTAGTGAACCGTTCGTAGGTGAATTTTTATTAGTGGTAGGTTTATTAGTTGGAATAGTTGGAATGGATGTTTTTATTGTTGACTTCACATAAGATTTATTTTCATCATTATCATTATCGATTAATAATAGTTTATCATTACTACTATTAATTTTGGTTGAATAGTTTGTTGTTGACTTTAGTTGTATACTCGAAGTTTTTTTTAAAGTAGGTAATTGAGAAGTTAACGGAATTTGCGTTGCGGCCATCGTTTTTAATATTAAATTAATTGAAAAGGGTTGTTGGAAATGGTAATATTATCGTCAAAAAGTCAAAACAAAACATTCAAAAAAATTTAAAGAGTATGAAGAAATTGAATGGTCGGATGCATTCGTTAAATAGAGAACGTATATGACAAAGATTTTTTTTGTTATTAAAGAACTCGGAAAGACAAAAAGTGTAATCCGAACACAACATCCAGAAGTACAAGAGCTGCATACAAAAAAAGGAAATTTTGATAAAACCTGTTACTTTGTTTAACGTTAATAAGTAACGTAACGATTCCAATGATTCTTGTAAGCTTTGTGCATGTGTAATTTACCAAATTAAGTACATAAGAGTGGCGATTGTTTAGAGTTTTTGAAAGAAAAGATGGTACAGATGGAATGATGAAACAATAAACAATTCGAACAAGAATAAAGTTTGTAAATATTAAGTTAGGTTGGAACACATTAATATAAATTATGTATGATAATGAATACAGTAATTAATAGAGTAATTAATATTAATGAATACAGTAATTAATAGAGTAATTAATAGTAATTAATACAGTAATAAAACCGATAAGATAGTTATATAATTATATACCTATAAAAACGCATAAAAATGGGTCTATACAACAACAAAATCAGACAAATTTCGGGGGCTAAATATTTTTTTTTCATTTTGATAGAGTGATAAGCAATGACGATAACTTTAAAAAAAAAAAATAAAATTGCTGATATACCGGATATCCCGGATATCAATCCTGTCTATATCATATGAAATAAAAAATTATATTGCATTCCTATTGGGCCTGTTATAAACAAAAGGCTGATATAAAAGTTATGATGTACCAGGTCTAAGCCGGTGTTCATGTGGTCCGGTTAATAACCAGTTCAAGCTTTGACGTTGTAGTACTATCAACACACAACGACAATCAATGATTGTTAACTTGTGTGAATTAATACAGTATTAAGGCTTCAACAACAATTAATGTTAAGGCTTCAATAGCGATACTGTGGTTAAAAACAAATATAACAACACTTTTACTAATATATTACTATAAATAATAAATATTAAATTACTGTTGCTGCTTACGTATTGAATTAGTTTCTTTGTAAATAAACAAAATTTACTTTTTGGGAAACGGAAATTATGTATCTTTCGGGCAAAGCGTTTCGTCATCGAAATGAGTACATTCGAAAAAGCGAAGATTGGAGTTGCATCAAATTGAAATTCGATTGATGCGTCTAACCAGTTTGTCATTGATGCATCAGATTGAAATAATATAATAATAGCAATTAAAGTAATAAATGATTCGTACCGAATTAAACAATTATTAGGAGTATTCATTTATTTGATGCAAACTTTTATGCCAATACTATACGTCGAAA